GTTTGCTATGTGATAATGGTTAGAACATGTAAATTAGATATGTACAACTCTCTGTGAATTTCAAGCTACATGAAATAAATGGATTTTGTTTTGCATACTTTCTACTCTGCTTGTTTATGCCTGTGAATTCCCAAATGTTTCTTTTAAAGATGTAACTGAGCCTATTTGAATCATTGCAAATCAAGATTAAAGCCTAGAATTAGCATCATAAATGATCAGAAGAAAAATGGGGAAATGCAACAGAGGAAGACGATAGTAATGGTAGGCAACCACTTGTAGAGACAAACTTGTAAACTGCAAATTGTGTTGTTCCAGTCCTGGATGATGTTTAATAGTGTTTTGCTGTGGAAGTAACAAACCTGCTTCCAGATTCTTGGAAAACACAGTTTTGCAAAGACAGTATTTATGAAGACAAAGCTAGAAATGGCTGGTAATGCAAACGAGTGTGTGTAGCCAATAGTTTTCTTCACCCTCATGTTAACCAGAGTATTGCATTTTTAAAAGTGTGAGAAGTTTCATTATATGGAAAGGAGCACTGTTTACTCGCATTAGCTGAAGCTGTGTGTGTGACTATAAATACATATGTGTGTGTAAATATACATACAAAGTATATACATAAAATATGTATGTAGGACATGAGGGAGATGGGTCTATTTTGCAGGTGTTGCACATGTTTTCTAAAGACTTGCTTTGTTTCATTTGAGTGACAAGGCTGAATTCTGTCAGAAATTATTAATGGCATCTATTGGAACAAACTTGTAGTTACTGCAAAAAGCCTGCTGCAGAATAAGCTCAAAGTCAAACTGCTTAAGTTATTCCTTCTGTATTTCTTACAGGATTATATAAAAGGTAAGTTATAATTTGACATGTAGTTCATGTATTTTTAAGTTTTGGACTTAATGTAGTATGTGTTTCATAAAGGGCTCTGAATGTAGCTGCCTTCTGCTGTTGACTCAATGTACAGAAGGAAATGACAAAATACATGAGACAAGAGATTCCACATAATTTTATTAACATCTACCCTACCAATGAGACCTCCAAGAGGAGTTTTTTAATCTAGAAAAGAGAGGAGTTCTATTGGTTTCCCTGTTCAAGAAGATATCTCAGAAAATTGTTTTCAAGTAGCCGATCAAAGAGTAGGTCAACAGCAAAAAGAATTCTGACAGTCAAGGAGGTGTCATCAGAAAGAAAAAACAGGATCCTCTGCCTTTCAGGTTTTGCTGGTTTATCAGCAGCGGGTAGTGAGAAAATAATTGACAGGTCTCTTAACTGTACTGAGAGGGAATTATCTTTTGAACTTTTGTTCAAAGAAGGAACACGAAATCTGGAAGGAGCTGTTGCAAGTTCTGCGATTGCTTTTCCAGTGCACTTAAGGATCTTGATAGAAGTATTGATGAGTCCTGTTTAACAGGGCAGTTATTTTATACTTAGATCATAGGAGAATCCTTATTTTTCCTGTGGTCACAAATGTTGTGGTTTGGTTTTTTTTTATTTATTACTTTGCAACTTCTACAAAGTATGATCTCACAGCTTCTTTTCATCTGCAGAATATTGGAAATTTCATGGGATGCTGTAAATCTCATGGATTTTAGCTTGCTTTCTTCTATTATCTAGATTGCATAAGCAGTGTAGTTTTCAACTAGTGTCTATACTCTCTTCATTTCATCATGTGGTGAATTTTCTGGACACATTTGTAGATTTTTCAGCGCTTTTCATTGTGACATTGAGTCACCCTAAACAAAAATAAAAGCAAATAAGCATTCTGAATATATTGTCTTCTCGATACTGAGAAGTCATCAAAATAGGCACTTAGTCCTTTTTCTTCATTTTGGGAAAACAATTCCAAATAAAACCCAAAAGTTGTTTTGGAGGTAAATTGCAGCACTGATCACAGTTTACTTTAAACAGATGGATAAGAACGGGTAGGTGACCTGCTACTGCATTCTTTGCCAATTGTACATTTGTAAGTGTTTTGTACAGTCCATAGTGTGCCAAAAAAATAATGCTTTACTGCTTTCTTTGGCAAATAATTCCACAGTGTCTTTTATTCTTTTCCTAATATTCCATTTGTGTTTTCCTTGCTGTAATGTTGGACTAATAGACTAAAATTAATCTAATTTCATACAGCTCAAGCTATACAAATCTGATTATCTGCCATAGACACCCACATAATTAATCTTTTTAAATACAACTTTTAATATTTCATGAGTACCTCTTGCGTAATGGAAGAAATTTTTGTAGAGCATTTGCTTAGCATCTTACTTTTTGGTATGTTGAATTTTCTAGGTAAAGCTAATAGTAGCATTCCCTTTTGATCTGGCTACTATTTTCTAGTAGCTGGTTAATATTACTGTTGTTGCTAGTTCCTGTGTTGCTGTTATGATGAAATTCTTAAGAGATGACTGTAGCAGCAATAACATTCAAATCTTCTCCATCTATCAAAAAATCCTGTCAAGCTAACAAGAGCAGCGCTAACATTATTATTCTGATGAGTTCATGCCAAGTGTAATTCTGCCCTATGCCTTTATATTATTTCATATAATTATTATAATAATTTCATACAATTGACATTACTTCATAGAAACAAACTGATAGAATTGATATTAACTAATGATAGAGACAGGTAGATAAGAAGTGATGGAGTTGATACTGCCTGGTGTTAATTGGAAGCCGAATTTTTTTCAGCCAAGTGCTTATGCTTTTTACTGTGTCTGAAAAGGAGCAACCAACGCTACAAAAAGTTACTAATTTGATTGTATCAGCATTGTATCCATTGGAAATTATATAGTGGACTGTAGGATGTTCCTCAGTTCTGTATGTAGTAATCCTTGTAACTTTGTATTCCTGCTCCTCCTTGTTTCATTCTTGCTTCTCCACGCACCTCAAGAGCTGCTATGAGGATGTATTATAGAATGCTTTGCTATCTTCAGTGTGAGGATGAAATTGTGCTTTGAATCTGTTATAGAAAGTCTAAGACAACCTTTTGCAAAATGATGCTTTCTGAAGTGTACTTACAACCTATTATATTCATTCAAAATAGTTCAAAGATGCAAAATACATGGAGATCAACAGGAACAAGAGTCTTCTCTCAAATAGTGGGGGCATAAATGGAGTTTCTGAATTTCCCAGAAATACTGTTTCATGACAAGTGAAAGGTAGACTAAGAAGTATGATGGCATCAAGGTGAAGTGATTTGTATCTTGTTCTTATAATAAAAATAGTCCAGCTTTAATGTAGCAGGTTTAACAGAACAGTGCCCTACAGATACTACTTAAGATTTTACAGCATTCCTTTGATGTTGTCTAACTGCCCTCTTCAGGATGACAGCGAATATGTTAGTGTCCTTAATGTTAGTATCTGTTTCTAGAAATAACCAATCTAATGCCTGAACCACATTTTTTTTTATAATTGCAAACTTTGCCTGTTGAGCAAGTGTGTTAAGTAACAAATTTTACTCAATCAGGTAATAAGGGTGAAAGTTGAGTTTTGTTGTGCTTCATAAGATATATTCTTTGGGTGGGTAAGAAATCATAAAAGTTCATTTTAACATCTTTTTTTTTTGTGATAGATTTTTTTTGTGTGCAATATATTCCTTGATACAACACAACTCTGCTGGAGTTGTATGTAATATATTTCATGCCCAAGGCTGATCTCAGTTATGAGGAAATGGGGAGGGTCTTACAACATCTGTGGTCCTGTCATCCTTTTCCCCCTCTTTGCTATCTCAAAATACAATATGTATTATGTGTGTTTAGTGCAGAGTTTCTCTTGCAACAAACAGATTTTTGCATCTACAGCTTTTAAATAAACAGCATTCTGCACCATCAAATACATGGAACTGGTTTTATAGCAACACTGTTTTGAGAAAAACTGCAGAATACATTTATTTATACTACTTCTGCATCTTACCGCATGCAAAGATAAGTTACCAAGTGGTAGAACCTTGGTTTGGACTCTACAGCAGATATGATTAATTAGTAATTTGGAAATAATTAGCAAAGGAGCCTGTGTACAGCCAAAAGTACTGCAAAGATCCTTTCAGGGTTTTTTTCTTTTTTTTTTTCTGAATTATTCATTGATATTGATTTGTTCTGTGGAAGAACCTGTGGTTTTATGGTTCTGTGATTGTGTGTTTAGAGAACGTCTCTGCTGGTAGCGATCCCAGAATTACTCTCCTGGAATTACTTTTTTCCTTTCCTCTCAGTGGACAGGGCAAAGTTATTTGTTTTGGTTTGTTCAGGTTCTTTTTTTTTTCTTTTAAAATTATAAAACAAACAAAACCCACCCAACCAAAAAAACCTCACCTGAATATAGAACCCTGAATAAAGCTAAGAGGAGGCTTTCTGACAAATTTGAGTAGTAGCAACATGACTTTATAGTGATGACAGAAAAGATTATTTAACCCTATATATTGTGCAAAATTATCCTTTATCACTTTTAAAACAAGGTTTATAGAAATAAGCTTGAGTGTATTACGCTACTTAAAAGCCTACTGTTCATTTAGTTAGTGTCATTTCCCCAGTGCTTAGCAGTTTCTATGGCTCTGCTATTTTAGGAAGATTACTACTGTCACATTTCTGTGTTATTTTTCCGCTAGTTTCAGAATTCCTTATGTTCAGCTGTCTTCAGCAAGTAAATCCTGATATCGTACTCCTGGGCCACGTAAGCATCTCCTGGCATGGAGTGTTAGCAGATTTGAGTGATACTTGCCACTCAGACCACTCCTGTTTTCTGAGACATTTAAATATGGAAAACATTAGTATTTGTTAACATGGTCTTGGGTTTTCTCTGGTATAGTTAGACTTAACACATTTCTAATTTTGAAGAAGGCAAGTTTGAAGCAAAGAGTTGCATAACTAGCTGAAACTTTTTTTAGTTGATAGTATGGGTCTTGAGAATGGTACTGCAAGTGTAATTCATCTAACCACTGCAGCTGGTTATAGAATCTTTTTTGCCAGCAAATGCCACATGGATGTACGTTTGTTTCTTTTCCTTAACAGGCAAGCTAATGAAGAATATCAAGTGCTGGCTAATTCATGGCGCTATTCTTCTGCTTTTTCAAACAAACTGTTTTTCACAATAGTGGATTATGATGAAGGGGCAGATGTTTTTCAACAGGTAAATGCTGGATACTGTAAAACATTCTTAATTTTTAGAACTACATGTTGATTTGCCAAATGATACAAGACAAATTATTTTCTGTGGGTAGGTGTGTACCTCTGTGTTTTGTATACAAATTCTTCCTGGTTAAAAACACCATGCACTGCAGTTTCTACGACATTAGCAAAGACAGCTTATACCAGTAGCCACTTCTAGTTTTTTTTCCAAGTGTAGTTTATAATGTTTCCTTGTAGATTACATTATATCTATGCAAATTTTTTTCAACCCATTGTTAATGTCATTTTTTTAGAATTAAGCGCAATGCAACTAACATTTGCATTTAAAGATTTCCTTTATCTTTAGGAGGAAAAAGCTCTTAACTAAAAGAGCCTTTTAATTGCTTTTATGTAATACAATATTCTTCAACTCCAGTAATATTTGTTTTAGTCTGGAAGTTCTTCAGGGAAAAAGAGAAGAGACTGGTTTAGATTTTATATATTGGCTATGAAGAGTGAAAAATCAGTTGTTGGAGAACAGTCTAAAGCTCCCTCTTAAATCGAGCAGTCAAGGCAAAACACATCCCTTGAAAATTAATACTAAATACTGACATGGTTTTCTCTAATATTTATCCATTGATTGAAGCTAAACATGCACATTAAGAGAAGTGACAAGTTTTGAAGTTCTCTGTATATTTAGACACCTTTTGGTGAAGTGCATGATTTAAAATTTTCAGGGGAAAATTTTAAAATTTATTCTTAAAATATTTAATAATTTAAAATGTTTAATTACTGTGTTTAGTAAATATTTTTGCTTCCAATTGACATCTTGGAATGTATTGTGTAAGGAATGGTTATTAATGGCTTAAGATTTTGCTTTAAAAATTATAGTGCAAATAGGCTTTAAAATCATCTTACATTACCCTACACGGTTACAATAATACAAAATATATTGTTTGATCTTACCTTAAGCCCAATCAATACATATTAGAATAGTCCAGTCCAACTTATTCCTTGTGTAGCAGGGCACAGATTGAGTTTATTTCAGGTGGTATGCATTTAAAGTAATGTAAAAGTTAGACCAAATGAGATACAATAGGTAAGTTTTTGACTGTCTTTGAGAAATAGAGTGTTAAGAATAAGTGATACAAATGACTATTTTAAGGTGGATTTGGGGGAAGTGTAGTTCTGACCTTATGTTTATGTGTGCAAACAAGTTATGTAATACTGATGCCATAGCAAAAAAACCCCAAAAGTCATGTGACTTTGATTTGGAGAAATGACAAAGCAGTTGCAGACCAACTGCCCCCAACCTCTGTACAATGTCAGAAGGTTTCTGTATCTCAGAACGTTTCTGTATCTTCTAAAATATTTTATTAAGCTATTTCACAACATTTGTCTTAGCCTTTCTCAGAATATTTTTAATTTCCAAATCACTTCACTAAAGAGGAGGGCTATTTTTTGCTTAGCTGGAAAATATGAAATAGCTGACAATTTCTATTGATAAATTTAGTTCTGTACTTGATTAAATATTTTGTTTTGGTAATACGACAAAACTCATTTTGCAGAAATGAAACAAACAAGTTTACTCTCCATTTGTTATTTAAAGATCTCCATATTGCACATGTTTAAGTATTTCCCCTGATTTTGTTTATGTTAATTTTCATTTTTTCAAGTGTTTTATTGCACTATTTCTGAGATGGACTGAATATGAGTGAATTTTATATAGTAGAATTATATTATCCTATACCACCTTGCAAAGTTGAAGTAAAAATTTAAAGTGACAAATGTAAATCAATTTGTTTATCACCTTTGAGTTTTTTGATATACTGTGAATAATGCCAGTGACATTAACGCATGGATTAACAGTCATGTAATTTCTAGGGCAAGTTATGTAGTCTAAGCTAGTTATCTTGGCCTTTCTGGATTCAAAAAAGGCTACTCACTAGTGGATAGTCTGTCTTGAAGCCAGTGGAAGGCTAGATGTATAGTTTAGTCTAGTTAACTTTGAATTGCTGAGAGCTAGGCAAGAGAAACAATGTCACGGTATTTGAACACTTTTTCCCTCCCCTAGAATTATAACCTAATATACTTTAATAGATTGGGTGGGTGTGGCATCTCTGTTTTACTAATTACAGGAAAGTTCTTACAGTGTATAAGAACTTTAAAGCATAAGACACCCATACTCAGAAAAGCTTGTGGGTGAAATACTCTGAATAAGTAAACATCCCAAAGAATCTATGGGAAAGAATATTCTGAGCACTCTTTTTGCAGGACTATACACGAAGATGTATAAAAAAGAGTAACATATGGAGGCAAATAATATTTTTCATGCTAGACTTGTGTTGTCTTATACATAAAAGGTAAACATTTTTGAGGATAGAGTTACTAATTTTTTTTCTGCTCTTTTTCCTGGTTTTGTAGCTGAATATGAACTCTGCTCCGACTTTCATGCATTTTCCTCCAAAAGGTAAACCCAAGAGAGCTGACACATTTGACCTACAGAGAATCGGATTTGCAGCTGAGCAGCTAGCTAAATGGATAGCTGACAGAACAGATGTTCATGTAAGTCTTTCGACAATTTTAAAAGTTGAAGCCAAATGCATCTTTGTAGTCTGACACAGGCTGATGACAAATTCCCTCTTTCCTTAATACTTTTTTTCCTTAATACTTTTTTTCCTCAAGTGCGGGTTCTAGAACACATTAAAAAAAAAAAATGTAGTCATGGTACTTGTGGTAGCTTCTGCAGTTCGTAGATTATATTCCATTTTTGCTTTGTTAAATTTTATGTAGTCTTATTCTGGAGGAAAACAAGCAGTGATATTGTGATAATTAGTTGTTAATAAGTAAAATGTGCTTTGCAAAGCTATACACAAAACAGATAGATCCAAAGGTAGCTGCTCCTAATTCAGGCACAACCGGCAAATCTGTTGAAGAAATAATGTTTTGGAGTTGAACAGTTCAAAATGATGCTTAAAACTTTTTTCATATTATGTGCTTATTAAAGAAGTACAATTTTTTCTTATTTAAGTATACCTTTAGGGATTAGTCTTTCTGATTCTGAAACCAGATCTCAGATATTCCCTGTTGGTTTATATGGAAGGTGATCTGTATGTATGCATTTATTTGCGATCTGTATTTGCATTTATCTTTTCCAGATTAGAGTGTTCAGGCCTCCTAACTATTCTGGTACAATTGCACTGGCTCTTCTGGTATCTCTTGTTGGTGGCTTGTTATACCTGCGAAGAAATAATTTAGAGTTCATCTACAACAAAACTGGCTGGGCCATGGCAGCTCTGGTATGCAGATTTTTCTTACTAATATGCTTTTTATTAGTTTTTTTGTTAGCATATGTGTCTTCATTACTGGCACAGTAAATTAAAAACCATTGCATTAATACATTGTTCAGAAAGGTAGTATCAGAAAAAGACTCATAATCTAGATTTTGGGGCTAATTCTCATAAGCAATGATTATCAGTTACTACGAGTGATTCACTGAAAATAGGCAAATTCTCTGATAGCTGCAGATTTTTGTTTTAACTTTAACAAGAAAATATTTCTAGTAAAAAGTGTTACTAATGTTCACTGCTATTGTTAAACTTTCCTTTTTGTGTAAAAGCAGTAATGTCATGATTGGTTTAGTGTGGATATTAATGTCAGACTGTATCGCTTTAGAGTAATGGAAGGTTAAGAAAAGTAACAAAGGCTTTTATATGTTTGTAAGAAAATGATAAAAGAACTAAGAAACAAAGAAAAAGGTGGAATTCTTTCCAAAACTGGTTTCAGTAGTACTGACCTTAACATTCCGCTGTTAACCTAAATGAGAATAGGACAATCTTATAGGGTTAATTCTGAGGAAATTCTAAAACTAGTCAATAGTCTGTTTGAAATATTAGTCAACTAAACCCTCAAGGCCATAAATAATGAATTAACGTTTAACGTGCTTAATAGTGTATTGCAGTGTGTTTGTTTATATCATAGTTTTCAAATAACTGAATAGACTGATGAAAAATACGGACTGTGCCGCATAGTCAGCTGTCTCAGTTTTAGATAGGAAATATCATGCAAGGATGGTAGATGATGGTTAAGGTGTATCAGTAAGTACTCGTTACTCTGCCATGATTGTGACTGACAGAAGAGGAAGAATCTGAGAAGCAGCATCTAAGGCTTAATTTTCAGGGACGCGGAGGTAGGAGCATGGTTATCAACACCAGAAGAGTGTCTAGGGTTATCAAATCCAAGCCAACATTTTACAGCTTAATAGAGCTCCTTCCTTCTGTATTAGCAATATATTAATTGAGAACAGTACTTTTCAAAAATTTGTCCATGTATTTTGTACAACATAAGCCAAGCTTTTTCTTCTTTTTCCATGTAAATGGTTATTTATTCACTTAATCATTTTAAAGACTTTTTCTTAACTTGCATCAATATGAATTAACCTTTCTTGAAAGCACGTGGCTAGGATTGTAGATGGAATTATGAGTTTACTTGTGTAGCAACATTCATATTTTATTTTTCATCTAGGCTCCCTTTCCCACAAAAGCTCGGACCAGGTGGTCTTTTGAGGTCCCTTCCAACCTGGGACCTGTTCTATGATTCTGTGGATTTTAGCTCTGCTAGAACTAGGTTACTGATGTATCCTATAATTGTTTTTTCCTTTTCAAAGCCACATCATATTGATGGTTTGCTATTCTGCTCCGATTCAACAATATGAGAAGATACCTTCTTTTGTGACACTTTCAGCTGATGGACCTACTGGCAGCTTTTAATTACATCAGTTCAAAGATGAAGTTACCTAGTACCTGTTGGGTTCTAATTCATTTTTATATCTAAATGATTAACAAGATCTTAAAGCAAGCTCTTTGTTCAGATATTTGTTAATATTTGGCATTACTCTTGAATAATGGCTACTGATAATGCTGTTTTCTCTCATGTGCTATTGTAGCATTTCCTACTAGTGTACATGGCATGCATTCTTTTTTAAGCAGTTTGTTTATCTACCCTGTACGTTGAAGAAGGAATAAAGAACAAGATTTCAAACAAACCACCTACAGGACTAGATTTCAAGTAGAATGATGCTTAGTTTTGATCTAGAGAGCCAGGGCCAGAATGTCTTTTTTGTTCCAGGATGTCAGTTGGAGCATCCTGAGTTCTAGCGCAGAGTTTTGACAGTTCTCTTCCAAAGTCAGTCTGTCATATTTAGTTCCATATATTTTTCTAGATTACCAGTATTTTTCAATGATAATACTTTTTAAAGATACACTACCACCAGAAAACTCAAATTTGATAGGTATTAGTCTAACTTTTTTTTTGGACTCCTAAACAAATATCTTTAGACATCACCTGAGTAAAACAATAATTAGCACACCAAAATAGATGTTTGAGTCAAAAATCAAATAAAGATATGTAATCAGTGGTATTTCCTTTGCTTAGCCATGCAGTGTATCTCTGGAGACAGCAATTTCATTCCAATTTCAAACCTCACGGTTTCAGATCAGAAGTTTAATGTTTGAATTTTTTGGGGAATAGTGTTTTTTGTCTTGCAGAGGTTAAAAATAAGTTCTTCAAATCAAGAATCATTCTGTTACAGTCTGCATTCAATAAATAGTTGAAGACATAATTAACTTCCTAGTTAAATTAAGAAAATTAACACATCAATTCTTTCTTAAAATATTTGCAGTTCTTAGCAGCAGCTGGACATTTTACATCTGAATGTAACTGGAAATTACAATGTAGAAAACTTACAATCACATTCAACTCAACCCCTGTGGACAGAGTCAATGTCCAAATGTAATCAAACACTTAAAGAAATTGTATTAATGCCATTCAGTAATTGTCATCCTGCTGATTGTATTGACAAGCCATAATAGAGTTAAAAGGAATTAAAATGACATTAACACCATTTATTGTTGTTGCTAGTAGTATTTCCTGTAAAATTTTGTTTACTCTAAAAATGAATAGCACTTAGAGGATCTTTTAGAAAAAGGTCTTATATCTGAAAGTATATGGCAATTAATCATGGTGTTGAGCCGATGCTTCCCTTTTTTAATCATTACTGTTGTTTTGCCTTCGCAACGTTGTCAAAGCCCCATACTGCAAAATGATGCTTTAGCAAAGATCATGCAGTTACCAGAAGTCCTTTTGGTTTTATTCAGATCTACACGGACATACAAGTTAATGTTATAAGTTCTTTTTGGTGGATTGCACCAAAATTGGGATTGCAGGCTCTTGCACAGATGACCTTAGTTCTGTAAAATGACTAGAATATGTCAAGATCCATACAGTAAAATGGACAGTCATTAATATATCCATTCTAAGGTATTGTGTGGCTATGATTCTCTTACATGGTGCTTTTTTCTACCAGTAAAACTTAGAGCTTATTTTTTTCATAAAAGCTCATTAAAAGGAAAAATGGAGAATATGGTGTCTAGTTAAGGGGAGCGAGTCATGCCTAATAAAATGCTTTTATGAAGTGTATAAATAACTAATAAATACTTAATTTTAAAGAAGTATATTCTTCATTAATATTTTTTCCTTTTTGAACTTTAGAAAACAAATTAAACAGGGAAAGGCTGTTTAGATTCATAAAAACTACAGGAAGCCCATGTTTTTGACAGGAGTATGGGCAATTATTTTTTTCCTTATTGGCAGTTCTTTCTACAGATGTTTCCGAACTGAGAAAGCAGAGGAGCTTTTTTCTAAAAGCTGTAGTTTTGGGTTTTGATTGTGTTTCGGAGGTGGTGTAATGCTAGGTAGCTAGCATTCATTAACCATATGGAAAATAACGTTTTTAATTTCAGGTGAAACACTTTCATAGGTATCCTGGAATTCAGTAACTGAAAACTGTATCATTGCAAACAGACAAGTCTCTTGTTTTCTTTTCCTTGTTTTTCAGAGCTTCTTAGTTTGTTTTGAAGAGCTTTTATGCTCCAAAATATTAGATACTTTTTATTTAATTGAAAATGGACAGTGCCTCTCTGCCTGATTGAATGATCTGTTCCTAAAAATTAGAAAAAAAATTCTCAGCATAAAGTTCCTCTGCTGTTACTACTAGCAGGAGAACAGAGGATCCCAGAAATGTTGACTGAATTTTTATTTGATATCTCCATTGATACCAGAAAGTTGTGTCTCATAGGTAATATGTCCAGCACTGTTTTAGGAGAATATTTAGTAATGCAATTTTTAGTGATCCATCTAATGGCTTTGATAGACTTTCAGAAGCAAGACCAGAACTTTCATCTCACACATTGATTCCAATGCCAATTCAGGCAAGACTGTTGAATTGGTTTTGGCCTCAACATTAGATTGCGCAACAGCAATGCTATTAGCAGTTTCATCCCCTCATTGAAGCACTGCAGACTCTGGAAGGATCTTGTATGCCTTAGGCATTTTTACTTGCAACATTACCCAGAAGACTTTTAGAATGGCAAACTATGATGATTAAGTCACAGTACATAATATCCCAAAAGATGTCTTTTGCGATCACATCCAAACTTTATCCCCTAGATTATTTTAAACTTTAATTCAAATCCTACTATTCATCTATGGATATTTTTCCCTCTGACATGCTAGCACAAAGATGAGGAAGGGCTTCAGTCCTTAGATATTTGCAGAGTCCTGTCCTTTTATACTGATAACAAGAAGCAATTCAGATTCTTGTCAAGACTCTTCATTTCTTAAGCAGAGAGAATAAAGGGTCGGATGGTATAAACTGGGCATATTTCTAACATTTTAGATAAGGAATTGCTACATTTTAGACAACAGTACTCCTGCTGAGAGTTTATTTGTTCAGCTGGCTAGAATGTGGGCTACTACGGGGCTTTTTAAAGCATTTTCTTTACCAGGCTGCCACTGTGGTTTTCTGCATGTAATTTTCAGTTTTATTTTATGTGTATAATATAGATTTGCCTGTATACCTGTGGAATCTGGGAAGTCAAAGTCTGTGCTCAGATTCAAAGGCAGCTGCCTGGGAGTTGACTCTATTGGGCCAAATATGTCAAGTCACTTGAATGAGGAGACAAAGCATGTGTTTACTGTTGTCGTAACAGTTAATGGTTATGAGAAATGTGTTCTGTGCTGATGCACTCCACAGTACCTATACCATACAGTACATTCATCATCAGTTATTGCTCCAAAAGAGCTTGAAGGGTATCATGGCTACTAGTGGCTTCTTTACCCCCTTCTGGGAACGAGAATAAAAAAAAATAATGTGTTTTATTCAAAGATACAGCTAGAAAAAGTCAGGCTCCTCTATGTGAGTATAGGCACCTCAAAAGAAAAGCAATAAATGCAGCTTATCAATTTCCTTGTCTTCCCGTAGTTAGAGGTTTTAGAGATGCACAGCACGTTTTAAAGATACAGAAACCCATTCTCTTTCATTCTGTTGTACTCCCTGTCCTTGAATGGTATATCTCTTATTGGAGATTCTAATAAGTGATGGATTGTTATTTAAAAATTGAGTACGGATTTTGCAGCTCTGTAGCCTTCATTGAGTACAAAAGCAAAGTTAAACTGGATGGAAAGGATTACATTTCTTTAAAACAATAATTGTGAAATGGCTGAAACTTACATATACAGAACAGTATAGAAATTAAGTACAGAACTGCCTGCCTCTGTCTCCCCTTTTTTTGAAACCATGCATGAATTTAACTATATTCATAAATGAATATAGAATTTCATTATTTTTCTTATGTTACAAAGTATTTGCCATGTTCTGGGGTCTAAACTTGCAGAGAGAAATCTAATGATCTGCTTTGTATAGTATCTGCTAGTAGGAAGCTTCACTTCGAAATGCATACCAAATGCCTTTTTAAGTCTTTAGTAATTTTGTTTAATAAACTGGCAGATAGTGCTAAACAAAACTTATGCCTTTGAGAACGTGATGTATTAAACCCAAATCATTTGACAAAGCTTGCAAAACCAAGAACAGTCGTGAAATTCTGCCCATGTACCTGTAAAGTTGTGCGTTGCTAGCAATTCGGTGTTCTGGTGGCACTCTTGGTGCTTATTTATGTTGCATCTGTTCTTAGGAGCCTTGTGGTACACAAACAAGTGCATCACAGGTGAGCTCAAAGCAGTGTCCCTCTTAGCAGAGCTAAGGCTGAAGTCATGCACTGTGAAGTCATCAAGAAAGTACCACTTGCAATTTGTTAACAAGGTCCTTGAGCAGTCCTGTCTACGCATACAGTGTACTCACTCAGGATTGGTAATAGGGGTGAACTTCATTGCCACTGAAGACATCCTGTGGACATTTGGTCCTGGAACCATGATATATTGTAACAAATCATTGTTCCTTCCCTCTCTGTATTACACCAGTCAATAATGTAGATCTACTCCAATTGCTTTTATCATTTGGATGCAGAATAAGCTACTTAAATCTGGAAGCTCTTAAAATAGCTAAACCCTGAACTCCGCTGATAATTCAGGTGGCATGCAGCAGTTAAAGTGTTGTTCTTGGAGTCTGACAATGAGAAAGAAGGGAGCAGGTGGGTAAAAGAGGGGTGTCCTTAGTAAGGGGGTGAAATCTTCTCATGGCACTCTTCTCTGCAGAACTACTGAAGTACAGACTCTACTCTGGATAAGTGGAGTTGAAAATCTTTCTAGGTGCTCAGATAAAAGTGCCTTAGCTTGAATCTTCTCCTGTTCTCCAGTTTTCATCCTTTGTACATTGGCAAGGTCCAAGAAAACTGCAGAAAGGGGCAATTTCTCTGCATATGAATTGTTCCATTGAAATAAATACAATACCCTTAATTGGTTTAGTGGTGGACTTGGTACTGTTAGGTTAATGGTTGGACTGGATGATCTTAAAGGTCTTTTCCAACCTAAACGATTCTATCATTCTATGATTCTATGATAAACCCATAAGGTAACTATGAAGTCATTAATCACATGTTTCAAGTTGCTCATTCATAGGAATAAATTTGGCAAAGCTTTATCCTGGGAAACACCAACTCACAGTAATGGTAGTGAACTAGGTGTTTTGGAAATTTTGGATCCCAAAATATGCGATCCTATAGAAACGATGGGATTAGGAATGGTAACCATTGTGTATAGTGTGATATATAATGTAACATAGATGCATGCATCTGTTCTACAAATAATGGTGTGTATTTCAAGTGTATACAGTAGAAGTCTGTAGTTTCCAATGTGGGGGTTTTTTGGGTTTTTTTTGTTTGTTTGGTTGGTTGGTTTTTTACCTGGATGATTGTAACAGGAGGATATGGAACACAGCAAAATGAGCTTGAATGTCAAGTGCTATCTGTAGCATACCAAATGCTTGCTTAAGGGATATGATGGAAATACTCTCTTCTTAGGATACTTAAAATAGATGAAGAGTGGAAGAGGGCAAGGCAGAAGCTGGAGAATGTTTCTTGGCTCCTGAAAAGATAATTTTGAAATATGCAGTAAAGAGGTGCATGACAGAAGCAAATCATGGCAGATCTAGGATGTGGTGTACTGAGTTAGTTTTCTTGGTCACTAACAGTCTGAACTGGAAGAATATGAAAGATGCCTTCAGGATAAGCAAACATATTGTTAACTCTTTCCTTTTCAATAATATTAATACTTGGAATTTGTTTCTCCCGCTATTGTGTCTCCTAGATATTTTTTGTTAGATGTTACCGAGTTGTGAGACTGTATTTGTATTGGCAAGCATTAAAGATCTTCAATAATTTATCTGTTGTAAAGTATATGACTGGGGTGGGTTTTTTCATCATTCCATATGGAAGCAGATTTGGTCCTAGAGAATGTAAATTAAATACAGTCATTTAAGAATGAATAAAATTACTTTTTATAGAAAACTCACTTTCAGAGAGTCACAGTTTGTGCACTCTATGCATCTGTTCTCTTTTGATATTTTACTTTTCAGCTAATTTTTGGCCTTTCAAAATATCTTTCACCTCACTTTTGTTACCCACATTTTCAATTGCTACACTTTTGTACTTTCACATAAGCTGTCTCCTGTGTGATTCATCACCAAAACTGCAGTATAAATTTCTCTGCTAAAACAATCTGCAAGGTATAGAAATAACTGTTACCCTTTTCCAGTAATGGAAGCATATACTCTCTTCATTTCTTTGCATATTATTAATTAAAACATAATCCATTTGCTAATAATCACTACCAGTATGCTTTCATCTGCCATATTAATTACTATACTGTTACATTCCAAATCCTGTTAAGGGCAAAGTGAAACACATATTTAAAGCCAAGAATCTGTTCTTAGTGTAATTGAAATCTTAACACTACAACAAAGAGTTATTATTAAACTGGACATGAAAATGTATTGTGTCATTATTTTCTTTTTCTTTCTGTTAAGGACAAAAAGTCTCAATAACAACACCACAATTTAAAAATTGTTGTGCACACACTTCCTAGTATCTTTCCCTTTCTCTGATGTCATGGTTACTCTTCCACTGTTTCTGGATCTTGAGATCATTCACTGGCTTCAGTTTGGGGGTGCTGTGGTGAGCTGTCAGCATTCCAGGTTCTTTGCTGAGAGGAGTATGATGCTGCTACTTTCTTCCTCCTTGTTCTAGGGTCCACTTGGGCTACTTTTACACTTTGTCCTTCCTTCACTGATCTGCAACTACATTTTATGTCAAAATTTACTGGGTGAACGGGGATTGCCTTACATACGTTGGATGCTTGTCCTTTGTTTTCTCTGTTACCCCTAAAACTGGTTTTGACCAGCTCCCATGTCTGTGTTTCTTCATTGGCGAAATTTTTACAGGCTTGGGTGTCCAGTGTAATCCTGTGCCCCCTTTCTTATCATTCCATACTGCTATACTGCATTCTGTGTTTCCACTTTTGTTGTCTTTGCTATCATGCCATGCCTACATGACATCATTATGGTAGTCATAATTACTTCATCCAAAACCGAATAGAAAAAAAAAAATACTTTGCCATACAAAGATAAGCAAAAGTAATGTAAACAAGGCATAGCCACCTGGTCTTTGGAAAAATTGCCGTTTCAGCTAAACAAGTTAAAAAAATCCAGGAAAGCCAAGACAGATTTGGATAAAGCCTGACAAGATTCAGTCCTAAAGCCTTCCAAAGTTTGTTCAAATCTTATTGCTAGAGGTACCAATGCTGCATTTGTGGGGATGCAGAGCTACACTAACTTACATTTATTTCACAAATGTGTTACTAAACATTCTTCAAAGAAAACCCTTTAAAGGGTTTTAGTAAACCCTGGTTTAGCTAACCATCATGGTATGAATTTTTACATTTGTGATCCATCTGCTTAAATCACTATGACTATACTGTGCTGGTGGGTATGTTGATGTACTGTAAAAATGAGCATATATGTAAAAATTGTACTTAAATTATCTTGGCGTTTTTGTAAGGATTATCTGTACTGGTAAGTCAAAGATGTATTTAGATGATCCCTTTTCTGTTTTTCTCATTTGGTAATCAAACGATACTATATTTTTGTATTTAAGATAGTCATAATGACTCTTGCTATGACTATGATGTCTGTTGTGTAGATTCTGTAATATGACCCTCTGCAAGAATTAATGTCCGTTTTTACAGTTTTCATACTTTCCTAACCTAAAGGCACACATCTTCCCATAGGGAATTCCACTTTTCTACCAACTCAACCATTGTTATTTGTCATACCTAAAATGAATCACAGTCATATAGGACACACAATGAGAATTTCATAAAATGGGACAGACATTTTTTTGATAATTGGATTTTTTTTTCCTTATGGTTTTATATATCATTTTGTACACCTGAAATCAAACAGTTAAGGTAAATATTTATATTGGATTAGAGGCAGAAATATCTTCATGAAAGGTTATATAAATCTTAAACACTAGTTTGCAGAATACTTGAAATGAGTACCTTCTACTGCTGTGAGTGCTTTTTGCCATATAGATGTGTAAATGTGGCAATTCCAAGTGCACATAAAGACAGGATTATTTCAAGTGAGATTCTCAAAATCTCTGTCTTGAGCTAACTCATTTTCTAACAGAAGTCGTTAAGAATTTTATGAGAGCAACGCATCTGAAAACCCTATTCTAAAAATCAAAGAGGTAGATACTGTATCTGGTTAGGTAAACAATTATGTATCTAAAACATCACCAGCAGAATGGATTTCTATTCAAGTCTTCTGGGTAAATAAATGAGTATATTGTTTTTCTATTTTTTCTAGTGTGTTGTATTTGCTATGACATCTGGTCAGATGTGGAATCACATCCGTGGACCCCCATATGCACATAAAAATCCTCAGAATGGACAAGTGGTGAGTTGATTCTTTTAATTTTACTTTGAGGGGAAATATTTATAGTCACTCCCTACAGTGAGTCTACAATAGCAAATAATTGCAGTTCCATAGCACTGTGTAACAGTGTGCCAGAGTCTTAAGTCTCCAGTGGCAAGCAGGGTCTGTTTTGGAATTGCAGATGTTTAGAAATTTTCACCATCTTTGATTTGAGCAATGAAACGAGTGGCCATGTTTTTCAAAATTCTCTCTATGAGGCTCCCAGCTGTAGTGAATGTGCTGTAAAATGTTCCATACCACACAATTTCTGCTGCCCAAAGATAAATGGATATTGTGTCTTTTTGTAGAAATGTGCTTCTTCACAAGGTGAAAAGCAAGTTTGTTGTTTCTCTTCTTTTCAGGCTCTACTTACACAAACCTTTGAGGTCTGTAACGTCTTCCTCTTTCTTGAGCATTTTAGTTAGAAAAGGAGATGGCAAATATTTTCATGTGCTTCATATTTTTCACGTGCTTTTTTCCATCATGCCTGTAACTATTCCACTCAACTGTACGGAATGCTTTTTCCTATATCTCTTTACTCCTTCAATTTAAATTCTTTATCAGCTTTACTAAGAAGTTACCACTAGCTGATTACTGCCAAAATTACTGTTATATCCTGCTACTGCTGTCTTTGAAGGAATTCTTTTACTTGCTCCTTCCTGTTCACAAATTAGCAAACGTTCATCAGAGTTCAGAAGGAGAAGTTCTCTTTGCCTACTGGGAAGGTAAAGAGGACCTTGGCCAGTTTCTACCACTCTTTGTTATTTACCACTTTTCAAGCAAGTTGTTGGGATGGATCTACAAAACTTGCTGTGAACTTAGTGGTCAGGAAGCTTTTTCATGACTAGTGGCCTGTGAAGCTATTTTCAGCTTTGACCATCACTGGTTAAAGGAGACTGGCTAATGTCCTAAAGAAAAAAAAAATTATTCAAAGCTCCCTTTGTGTCATATCTTAATTGCAGTAGCAAAAAAATGATGGTTTGAATTTGATTACCAATTTGCTTTGTATCAGGAATGTAGCAGTATATTAATGTCATAAAATGACATGATTCCATCTGTCAACTTTGTTATGCAGAACTGATAATGTAATAAATAATCTCTGTAAAACACTGTTTATAAAAAAATTAGAGTTTTTCATTACTGCCTTGCAGTGTTAAATTTATGTTGCTTTCCTACAGAGTGACAGAGAGGAGAAATACTGCATAGAAAAAGTACCGTTCATGACAAACTAGTTTTTACCATATGCAGTTTCAAACACATTGCCCTTCTTAAAGACCTGTTTCTGAAGTATTGACTACGTTAAATCATTTAAAAATATCCCCTTAATTGTTCCTGAATTTGAGCCACCTTGTCTCAGTTTTCAGAGTGTGAACTCCTCATATCCTATCTCAGTGTATGAAAAGCTACTAGTTTGGGAGTGTTAACATACACAGCTAAATAATGAAAGTAATGGTAGAGGTGGTTTTAAGTTCTAGTTACTAACCTACTGTATTAGTCAACACACATACCTTCCTTTCTGGTTTTGCTCCATTACATGACTTCAGGTAAGTTATTTTGTGCCTCTGATTCACCTGTCTCTCCTTCTTCATGTGTGTCACTACTTTCACCTCCTGGGAGTTATGTCTGTGTCAGTAAGTAAAACCAGTCAGATTCTAAGAATTAAAAAAAGCATAGATGCAGGATCACCAAGTGCCTGATTTATTTAAGGTATCACTGACCATGATAGTTGTAACTTAAAGCTCTGGTTTTTACCAGTGTTAGAAGCTTAATAAGTATTCTGTAAACCTTTACCTATTTTACATTGTATTTTTTTTTCAAATAGCATTATTGAACATTTTCCTGTTTCATTTTTCTAGCACTTATCTATGTTCCTGTGAATTTGAAGTCATAGAAGTTCTTATCTAACACTTCTGTGAGATTCATTCAACCATGATAATTCACTGTAACACTGTTCTGCATTAACAACTGCTCTCTTTACATCTGGATGAAATTTAACTCATTACTTTCTTTCAATGTCCAAATTTCCATGCTAATTTTGTGCAAGGATTACTTGCATGTTACACTCTGAAACATTGTTATTGGTCTTACCACGTAAAATTCTGGTTTTAAGAGGAGGCATAGAATAGCTCATTAAGCTTAATTGTTTTATTGTTAGGTTCAAATTTACTAATTCTTAACTTTTCTTATTTCATAGGAGTTAGTGGTTCAGTTCTGTATTAGCTGTAGAGCGTGATATGCCACCAGACTTTGAAAGTGATAATATTCTGTCTTCGTAAACTGTTCCTTGCCTCAGATATCTCCTATTATTTGCTTTGTTCATGTCATAATTTTAGATGACACTTCATTTTTCTTCCATAAATTCCTATTTTTCCAAAATATGAGAAGATACGTGTTTGCTTTGCTTAAACAACACTACTTTCTAGTGCCAATATCTTGTAAAAGTAATGTTAGCAGTTCTTAAAATTTTTGGGTTGTGCACTGCATTTATAATTCTTTGCTTGATTACCTAAATTACTTTAGTTCTATGATTGTATTCTTTGAATGAAGCTTTTAAACCCTATTTTTGTAATTCTGTGTGAGTCTATTCTGTGAAGTTTGTGTGCTCTCTTATTGAGGTTGTTGCAGTTACTTCCTTTATTCCCCATTGCCGTCAGCTAATTTCAGTGTTTGGGTCCACATGAAAGCAGTATCAATTTTAATTTCGAAAGCTGAATCGCACAGTACTGCTGTTTGATATTTCAGTTCTGGTTTAGGTTGATGAAACTGGTGCTAGTCTTCTATCTTGACACGTTCTTTATCTCTGTTGTATTTTTTTGAGTTCTTCATCTTTTGCATAATAATTTTGTTAGAATTAGGCCCTTACTGACTGTGTGACACTAAAATCTGTACCTATTTTACCAGAGTTGAGAGTGAAAACTAAACATCCCATTGGTGTCTGTATATAAACACTCTTGGGAGAGTTCTGATTTTTATTCCGAGCTTGATCTGTATAGAGCTGGTGGTGAGACGAGTAGAGAGCTGGAGAAAGCAATTACATATTTTTGAGCCTTCTGCAGAGGTAGTTCTGTAGCTGTTTAATTGACCTAATAGCAAAGAATTCTCATTAGATTTTCATCAGCTTTTAATCAAATAGCAGCAATGGGTACAAAAGCATTTATGTATGTCTATCCAGAGATTAGCAGCCATTTTTTTTATTTGGATACAAATTCTACAATTTTTATTGTGCAGTATGCTCAAGACTGCATCTTTAAAATGGTTGAAAGTTTGCTATAAATGAGGACAGGGCAAAGGATAAGCTTGATCTAAAATACTGAATTAAGGTGATTTTCAAAGCTCATAATTTTCTTTCCTTCTCTGAGAAGAAATTATTAGAAGTTGGAAAAGTTTTTGTGTGAAGAGGGAAATATCATATTTTTATTGTCAGATATTAGGTGGTTTTCATACATAAGATGGTGCTTTGTGAAACGGGTAATGGTATTATTTGCCACTATATTAACTGGATTTTTTTTTTTACATGTCATATTTTAAAAGCTTGTTAAAATTGCTTAAGCATAACACAAATTATGTCCTTAGGAAGCAATTTATATCTGTTTAGCAGATCTTTGAGATAGAACACCTTGCAATATCAGATCACATATAAATATTTGTTGAACTGTGGAGTTTATTCAGCCTTTTTTTTCCCTACTTACCTTTCACAGTTTTATAACCACTCATCTTTATTCAGGAGCTGTCTCTAAAATACCACTTTTCAAATGGTCTAGCTGATATGGGTGTCTGGTAATCTGTATGTTTCTGAAGTTACATGAAATTTAACTGCATGAATTTGTCAATGCAAAATTAAGGTACTCTGTGTGAAAATTTTGTGCTTAGAATATCAAGATTCTTAATTCACAGTAGTCCTCTACTGACAAAATGTCATTTATTAAAGTATATTCTTCTGTGTTTTCTGACATGACTTTTTCATATCAGTCTAATTAAAATAAATGGAACTTTCTTGGAACAGTTTTAAAGAACAACTCTCCCTTTCAAGTTCAGTAAGTCACAGTAAATACATTGTCCTTTTGCCTTCTATCTGGAAGCATGTTTGAAGTACAGTTTGCCAAGACTGTATGTGTAATGCCCAACTTTTCTGAAAGTGGCCAGATTGCTTGGTAGCAGTTTTGATATATAAAGTAGTCACTTTTCTGTATGGTATATTATCATATATTTGTCTTGCTTTGGGATAAAAAAAAGTTCATACAGGTTATTATATCAGTGTCTAACATAAGGTATCCAGATTGGTGTCAGTAGTACCACAGCAATATTTTGGTGCATCTATCAACAATAATCACATCCATAGTGCTATTGAAAATACTTCTTAATATTTTATTGGAATAGCCAATTATTTATGTTAATATGTTTGATAGAATGAGAAGTAGGTTATTTATTTTATGAGTGTATTTAATGAAAAGGCTTTCCTGTGGTCATCAAAGCAGTAAGTCTACTCAGAAGCTGCAACAAGTAAAGGGTTTCTCAAGCCTTTAGTTTAAATTTCTGTCTTGATTTAGTTAAAAAACTTAACAATTGGCAGTGTAACATGTAGTAACATGTTACACTGCCAATTGTTAAGTCTTTTGACTAAAATTAAAATAATTAAAATAATCTTAATTCTGTTAACAGACCAGCACATTAACAAATGGGCAACATCATTTCTAAACTAGTGTTGTTTATTATCCTGTATAAGACATCTGTCCTAATTTTTGAGATTGCAAGGGTGATCGTAGCTGGCATTTCAATAACTTTCTGTATAACGTGTTTCTACCTTGATATTAGAAAAAAGAAACCTTACACGATAGTTTGTACCCTTTTTTATTGTGGGAAGAAAAGGAGGTAGGGAAATGGTCATGACAGAAGGGTTGCTCAGATGAGGTATTAGAACCTCCAAATTCTAAAAACGGTAAATTCTTGAAGCATACATGCTGTAAAAGTTCAGGTAGCGCCAT